CTGGGAGGTCCTCGTGTCCCCCTTGGGGTCCCCATTGTCACCTGGGGGGTCCCATGGTCACCTTGGGGTCACCCAGGGGTCACCTGGGAGGTCCTCGTGTCCCCCTTGGGGTCCCCATTGTCACCTGGGGGGTCCCATGGTCACCTTGGGGTCACCCAGGGGTCACCTGGGAGGTCCTCGTGTCCCCCTTGGGGTCCCCGTTGTCACCTGGGGGGGTCCCTTGGTCACCCAGGGGTCACTGGGGGGTCCCCAGTGGGGTCCCTGTGTCCCTCTTGGGGGTCCCCAGTGTCACCTGGGGGGTCCCATGGTCACCTTGGGGTCACTGGGGGGTCCCCAGTGGGGCCCCTGTGTCACCTGGGTGTCCCCATGTCCCTTCCTAGGGGTCCTTGTTGTCACCTGGGGGGGGTCCCTTGGTCACCTGAGGGTCACTTGGGGGTCACCTGGAGGGTCCCCATTGTCACCTGGGGGGTCCCTTGGTCACCCAGGGGTCACCTGAGGGTCCCCGTGCCACTTTGGGATCACCTGGGGGTCCCTGTGTCACTCTTGGGGTCCCCGTTGTCACCTGGGGGTCCCTTGGTCACCCAGGGGTCACCTGAGGGTCCCTGTGTCACTTTGGGATCACCTGAGGGTCCCTGTGTCACTCTTGGGGTCCCCGTTGTCACCTGGGGGGAGAATAAAACGACGATTTTTTTGGGGTGAAAGCGCAGAAATCGGTGAGGGACGTTCCGGGGGGGGAAATCGGGGACCGGAAGTGAGGCCGAGCGGAATGGTTCCAACGCCGCACGGGAAGATGGCGGTCCCCGGAGCCGGAAGTCCTGCGAGGCCGCACAGCAAGATGGCGGCCCCTAGACCGGAAGTGCTTTGAAGCCGCGCAGAAAGATGGCGGCCCCCAGACCGGAAGTCCTGCGAGGTCGGACAGCAAGATGGCGGCCCTCGGACCGGAAGTTCTCCCATGCCGTTCAAAAAGATGGCGGCCCGGACCGAAAGTTCGCCGGGCCCACACTAAAGATGGCGCTGCCAGGACCGGAAACGAGCCCAGACCACGCTAAAGATGGCGCCCTTAGGCCGGAAATGAGCCCAGACCACACTAAAGATGGCGCCCCTAGGCCGGAAATGAGCCCAGACCACACTAAAGATGGCGGCGCGAGCCCCCCACTGTCACCCGGGGTGGTCCCTGTGTCACTTTGAGGTCCCCACTGTCACCTGGGGGTCCCCACGTCCCCTCCTGGTGTGTCCCCGCTGTCACCCGGTGTCACCTGAGGGTCCCCCTGTCCCCTCCTCGGGGTCCCCGCTGTCAC